TTTATTCCTCCGTAAACGATTACATTGTATCATGCATTATTTCTTTTCTTTACTGAGATAAAAATGTCAAGGTTGTTCACGGTAAAAATGTGGGGAATATCGTATTCTTGAAAAGATTTCATCTTACCTCTTAACATTTTTTTGTTGAAAAAATCTTTTGAGGAAAAAACAAACAAACAAACAAAAACACGTGCTATCTTTTTGTTCTTTTAAATGCGTTTTGGCGTGTGTAAAAATGTTGTCTGATTGGACAGAAAATAATTAAGTATACATGATGTATATTTATAACACTTTTATCGTTTTTGACTAATCGTCCAGACCTGTTAAATTGTCAATATCTAAAGAATAAATGAAGCACAATCCAACACAGGTCTCTAAAATTAACGATAAAAACTTGCTTACATGTATTGATAAATTGAAAAAGGGACATGATTTAATTATTTATTTTGCAATTTAGAAATAATGATAACAATTTCAACAAGTCGTTTTGTCCTAAGAAGGGTTTATTTACACTGTCAATATATTAATCAGACATTGCCTTGGTTCTAGGAAACTGTCAGGGCATTGAGATTCTTTCAATAGGACATAGATTTGCAAAGCTTGTTCTAAACATAATTCACTGAAAAATAAAGAGGAAAAAAGAGTATTTTCACATGTTTTCTAAAATTCCAAATCATTTTCAGCGTAAGAAAAATAAAATCAAATGCATTTTAAACATACCTTTCGAACTGGCCCGAGTATCCTTCCAAAAAGCAATTCATTGCGATGCCAAACATGAAACCTAGAAATACAGATACAAGACTTTCTAACTGAAATTGCTTTTTACATGGGATGGACAATTTGACTAGAAAACAAATTTAGTTATCAAAAAAGCATTCTCCGATTTAGGTATTCATGTTTGAGTAGCATCATCGAAATTTTGATAAAAATCACCTTTTGGACCCCATTCCTTCTGACTGAAAGACAAGATACTAATATTAATTACCTCGCAGATAAATACCCACCTACATATTGATTATCGATTCCCATTTTACTACTGCTTAGTTGAAATACACTTTCAGATAGAATTACATTATCCGCGAACCTGTTAGAACGAGTGATCTTAGCTATCTGTGTACATAATAATTAGAACTTTTTTTTTTATTTTTCTGTAAAACACTTCCTGTTGTGTCAGGTTTTATAGTATGTTCAAGGACGAATTTTTATGAAAAAAAAGCCAATATTGACTAATTTCAACAAATAATTAGTTCATTTAAAATATTTTCAGGAAAAATAGAGATCAAATTTCAGTTCAAACAATTTTCGAAAGTCATGATAATCATGAATTTATATATGGATTAAAACAAAGAATTTAACCCTATTCGTTAAAGTACTATATATACATGTATTCATTTTTACTTCGATAAAAAATCTAAATAGTTCTGACGGTTCCATACCCAGCAAAGTCATTTGAATATTTATATTAATTTTCGATTGAGAGTTTAAATAAATCTATCATATTGCGTTGCCAAGTTAGATATGAAAATGTGTGGTCTTTAAAGTCGAAGTTATGAATTGTATTCAAGAGAAAATCTGAGACAAGTATGAAATATGAAAAAATCTTGATCTAGCTATTGCTTATCTATATTTTGATGCTAAATAAATTTTATGCTATTTTGGTGCGAATTGTTAGTCAAAATCGGACCAAAGCTAGATTTCCCAAAGTATTTGCTGACTTGATAATTATAGCCGTATAGTTTATACGTTTGATTTTTTAAAGGGTCTTTCGAAAGCCTGTGAGCATCAACTTATCTTTCTGTAGCCTTATGAACTGGCATTTTTTTACGTTTACCAGATCGATAAAGCACGTTTATCATAGAGCTTGGTTGTTAGATTACAATTAATGTCTTTTTCAAGTAAAATATCCAAGTATGTCTCAGACACTGTGGTATCTTTTATCTCAAGCTCAACAGGATTCTGTAAACGTATCATATTTGGCTGTGTATTCTTTTTAGCGGCTTTGGCGGATCACAACAACCGCTAAATCAAGTACAACGCTAAATGTCTTGCATGTATACACATAAATAAGAATATGAAGAAATGCGCTAAATAAAATTTACGCTAACTTATAATTCAAAAGTCAATTGCCGCCAAATATGGTAAACGCTAAATATAATACATTGACAGTATATCGTATCGACATATAAATGGAAATTACCATCATTAATTGACAATACGTCGTCGATATATCTAAATGTCGTTGTTCTCACAAGTTCATGGTTAAAAAAGTTTTTAAACACGATTAAAAAAATTAAAAAGTAATGAGTACATTTTCTGTAACAGTTTTCAACATTAAATTTGTGATCATGGCATGACAGTGTTGGGTATACAGTAATATTGTGATTGGAATTTCTACAGATAGATTTATATCATATACGTATAATTGACACTGCTACATTAGATCTAAATGTTTTTATATTGAATTATCAAAGATATAGATAGATAATTGCAAAACACGCATGCAATTAAACTTTGATCAAGCAATATTCAAACAGCTCCTTCCTATTTGTTTAATATAATCCTTCGAATAAATTATTTTTACCTAAAATCTCACATGACATACTAGTATTCTATATTTACACTCAATTTCATGTGAAATGAGTTATGAAACTGTGTCAGAAATGATAATGTAAAAATAGCCAGTTATTTCTGAGTTCAGATCGCATGTAGAACACCTAGAAACTAAAATTATTTAAAACCTTCAAACTAATTTGCAATAACTCATTTTGATAATTCATGCTCATGAGGAAAATGTACCAAAATAATTTATTAATATTTCATATCTAAAGGTCTTGATAAAAATTTCTCAATCCCACTACTCGAAAAAATATTACCGTAAAAAGACTTTGTAATGACTTGACTGTAATCATCAATTGTGTCAAAGGAAAAAAAAAGAGAGTAAAATGTTGTTTTACCAAATGCGACTTTGTTACTAAATGATAAAAGACCATTTTTTAAAATATAAATTGAAATTTAACAACAAAACTTTATGATGGACTTGGTGACATCACATTCCATTACCTAGGTAGCAACATATTTTTATTATCTGAATACGGGCTTTATGTCTCTCAGTTAATTCCACGCAAGAGCAAGTTTATACGTACGATTAATTTTTAAAAAAAGCAAACTATCAATAAATAAATCGATGAAACAAGGATAATTTAAAAGTCTCAATTGAAGTCATCATTTTTCAAATTTTGAGGTCGATACAATAACCATATCAGGGTCAAATTCTGACTGACGTTTACATATAAATTATGACAAGGAACACACAACGGGAGCGAGCGACAAGGGTTGCTTACTCCTCCATGACACCTGACCTCACCTAATATTTTGTTTTTGCAATGGCCGATCTCTATTCCTAAGATTAAACTATGTTGTTAAAGTATATATTCATATTCTGAAGCAGGAAAATACATACAATCAAATTTCAAAGCATAATGTCTTGTCACCCTCACTCAAGTCGTTTGTAAGCCATAACGTCTAAAGACGGCCAAAAATTCAACATTATAATAATTTGAAAAAATGTGTTTTACGTCAATATTATGTTTCCGGTAAAACGAAAGAAAAATTCATTGAATGCTTAAAAAGGTAATAAAAATATTTTACAAGGTATTTGAATTAAGCGTAAATTTTTGAATGAAATCCAATGAAAATCTAGACCAATAAGTAAAGGTGGATGTAAACGCATTGTTTAAAATGGGAGATTAAGCTTCATATACATGTACATCATATAAATGATAACACATGTCTTGCTTGCAAAATTAATATTCAGACTCATAAAGCAGAAAAGAAAATGTGTTACTTTCTCCTTCAAGCAGAATTTTATCATGCAAGTACAGACTAGACTAGTTGCTAATATCATTTCGCTGAAGTGATAAACAAAGAAACAATGAAACATACAGAGATACGAACAGTATTCTAGATCAAAATAGCAGCAGAGCAGCATAAATAATGGACAAACAAGTTGTATGAAAAATATCAGTCAGCATTTGACTCAATGATCAAATGTATTTGCTGACAAGGTCATTGTATCGACAATAAAACTTACGAAATGATGACTTGAAACGAGACTGTACTAAATGATGACTTTAAACGAGACTGTTAATATTCTTGTTTCATCAACTTATTTGTCAATTATTTATCTCTCTTTCTAAATTGTTCATACGTAGAGAATGCTCTTGCGTATCGAATCAACTGAGATATACAAACCCAGTATCTAGGTGATTAAGGTATATTGCTGTATAAGTAAGGGGAAGCTGACGATAGAAAGTCATCACGTTTATCATAGAGCCTTTAGATAAACATTAACCTCTTTTTCGAATAAAATATTCAAATATGAAAACAGATGTGTCGGACTCCGTGGTATCTTTTATCTCAAGCTCACCTGGATATATCGTATCGACATTGGAATGGAAATTACCACTGTTAATTGACAATACGTCTTCGTTATATCTAAATGTCGAGTTGAAGGCAACATCAAATGTTTTTTCTTTTCATACATAAGATTCTGTACAAATTCTGCTTCATATGACTACAAAAATAAATCTGCTAACAACGGTGCGCAATTGGTACCTCATGGGAATTCCAACACATTGTTGGAACATAGATATTGTCAATCAGAAATTCAAACATCTTCTTTATGTCCAATCAGTCAATCATATTTTTTTTTTTATCTTTTTCTATCCTAAAAATTCTCTCTTTAAAATCTCTTGATAATATTTGACATCAAAATAAATGTATTTTATTATGTTTAATATCAACGTACATGCCACGTAATCATATAAGCAATGCAAACAAACAATGACTCAACTAATACATGTTTAGAAGGTCGTTACTATAAAAGTATAATTTGAGAATTTTAAAAAATACAAAATAACGCCTTGCAAGGATGCAAAAATACAGGGCATTGTAAATAAGGCAAAACATTTCTGCAATATTAAAAAACAATGAAAACCCAATAGACCTCTCAAATATCTAGACTATCTTCTGGTTTCATTTCAAGTTGAAAATAATTTCTATTTTCATTTCCTGTTTCAAATGCCTGTTCCACAGTGCTCGTTTTAGCTGCCGAGTTCTTTTCTCTCAAACTTGTGTTATGACAGTTATCTTCTGATGTACTTCCTCCACGTGACGTTGTTCCTACAGTGGATGTCAGGGAATCAATAGGACTCCCTTTCTCATTCAGAAGATGATAAACATTGGAGGTCCCTGATCACATACTTGATGGACTCTTGTCTTTAAGTGATGGTACTTGAACTCCTTTTTCTGATATCTGCTTGAAATGAAAATAAATGCTCATATCAGTCACAGTTGAATTTATATAGAAATAAAATAAACATTTCGATTTATCCGCTACTTCATTGAACAGCTATTCGACGAAGTCTTTTATTCATAAGATCTATAATTTCTCTGATACGAGGGCATCAAATAATTTAAAATTATATATAAAGGTACCCTCGCAGTATCTTCTATATCGCAGTACATATAAAGGTTATCTATTGATTCTCCGGTTCTCTGGATTGTCTGGTTTTGATCGGCAGATGATGGTGATGTTTGTCTATGATTGGTGCTAAGTACACATAAAAAGACTTTATTGGACACTTAATATTTACATTTGCCCAACATATATGATTAATGCGTTAGTAATTAACAAATGTTTAAAATATTATATAATTACATCTTATCTTGATTAGTGTGATTTATAACAGAACAATAATACAATGTAAATCTCTTTATTGCTTACAAGAATTTAACTTACCAGCGACGACCAGTCAATGTTAACAATACTCCAATAATACAACCCGCTACCACACAAGCAAAAGCCACTAATAAGTCTGAAAATAGTATATTGTTTTCATGATAAAGCTTTAATTATTCACAAGCATGAAATCACACAAACATATGCATACATATACAATCCCATATTACCCAAAATGGTTAAAATAAAATCATTAAATAGATAAATGAATAGAATATTGTAATTATCAATAAAATTGAAAATATTTTTAAAAATTAACTCCGGGTAAAAACATTTTAAATTTATATATTGCATGCATACACTTTTGTTCATATTCCTGTATTTCACTGTTCATATTTATGTCTGCGCTACCAATTTCACTTCCAATATCTGAAAAAAGAACATGAAGATATTTTGTAATGCAGTTAAAAAATGGAGATGGTTATTTTCAATGTACTTTTCTATTTTTCAGCAGCAATTAAATAAACAGGTTATTGTAATTATGTAAATATGATATGAAAAATGCATCTTACCTGTTTGTTTCGGAAAAGTACATGTAACAGAGAACCAGTCATATATGCACTTTGGTATATTACAATATTTTTTATGGAAAGTTGGAGGCGTATTCTCATGAAGATTTGTAAACATAGGTAAATTAAGTGTGAAGTTCACACAGATTTTCTCTTCATCATAGAGTGAGTTGTTCTCTATAAACGTTCCTTTGCAGTGCATTGTGCAGTTCCCACCTACATCAAAAAGAAAAAAAAAAACAATGTATTAAAGCAATATGAGCAGCATTTTTGAAAATTTTATTTTGCTATTAAATTGTGCTTTTCCGATGAATTTGTATGTAATTTAAACCTTTATGATGAATAAGACTTAAAGAAAGGATAAAATTTTTGTAGAGAAATGAATTCCTTGCAATGGAATGTATATTATTCCGCTTCAGACAAATTTGTAGATTACTGATTGGATAAAAGCTAATCACATGACGCCCTGAAATTTTTCGTATTACGTCGCCGTCAAGGAGTAATATGAAAATCGGGCACACATTCCGTTCCAGGCGTTCTTATTGTAAATAAAAATGGCTAAGAAAGGGTTTGCTTCGCCTCGCCCAGTACGGAGTTCCATTTCACACTCTGTTTGACTCCGTATTAGGTCACAAACTGACTGTGTAACTAATAGCATTATATTAGAAATAAATATGGTACAGGATGACAATAATGTAACTTTGCTTCGATCTAAGCACACAAATAGTTCTTCCATCACTAATATGCACGACAGAAGTTTATAAATGTTCTTATTTTCTATTATTAAAATAGTTTATTACATTTTTTCAACACAAATTTCCGACATCAAAGTTGCAGCTCATATTGCTTTAAGGAAATCAGTTTTAAAGCTACCGAGTTACTCGGAATGACCTGGGTTGGGAAGTCTACACTTCATAAACATGGATTATAAAAGACGTAAAATGTTCCAACCGAGGTTAACTAAACGGTATAACTTAAGAAGGAATTATTAAACCATATAACTTAGGGAATTAATGAATTCATTCATTATAAACAAGTGTAGAAAAAAAAGACAATTTCTCCTGAAAAATTACAATAAATTGAACAAAATTTAAAAGTTTCGTCAGGCAGACCAATGCTCTTTTGATTTAGACAGTCATTGTGAAGAAGTTATAACACATAGGTTATAAAATATGAACTAATTTTAAAGGCAATCAAAATTTCATATCCGTTTTATTACTTTGCTCCTCTAGAAAAGCACACTTTCCTATATAAACTATGTATTTTCTAAACCGATTTATTACGTTCCTTTCATCAAAAGAATTCAATTATGTGAAATACAAAGAAAATAAAATCATTATTTATTATGTTTATGAATTTAAAGGAATGTCCTGAATAATTTATAATCTTGATAGTAATTAAAACCTTTCTGAATCTTGTCGTAAGGGCAGCGTTGTTCAGCCAATTCATTTTGAATTGCAAGTGCATCTCTAAGACACCACTTTACTTCATTTAATCTGTAGAAAAAAATGACAATCAGGAACCTTTTTTTGTGAATGTTTGTGGGGTCATAGGGTCTAAATGTATGTTAGTTAAGCTTTATATTTTTATATATGAACTTTGAACCTACTCAACTGAAACGGTTGGCGCCATGGAACGAGACCCACAGGAGAAAGTAAACTGAACTGAAATTAAAATTAAAGAATTATATTAAAAAACATAAAAGAAAAAAACCCCTCAAATTTAGAATTTGAAATAAAATGTTAAAAGCGATGTTTCTATTTTAAATTTATTTTGCTTAATCTTTAGGCTTTTGAGCTATGTTTCATCATGATACTGTTTAACAACATTTTTTTTTCAATTTACAATATGTTAGACATAACTCTCTTAAAAGAAGATCTAGCTATAGGTACTACAAGCGATAGTATTGTTCTGCCGTCTACCATCAAACCATTTCACTAAAGCTAACGTATTATTTGAATGTGGGGTTGGGGTGGGCTGGGGGTTATATGTTACCGAGAAACATCGTTACATATAAGCACAACAGTGTACAACTCAGGTAAAATATATCTACGGGTGTTTGTTTGTTTGTTAAACGGTCCTTCGAGATTTTTTTTTACACATATTGAGTTACTCGCAGATGAAGGTCAACGAATTTAGACCTGTACTCGGCACATAAGGGCTTTGAAAATGATCTTTTTCCTGTCAGTATCAACTATGGACCATGTCCTCGGTCTATTTCTAGTAAAATATCAAATAGGAAACAGATGTACCAGCCTTTGGGCTATCTGATAAATCGAGTTGAAAGGGATATATAGAGTGAATGTAGGAATGAAAATGAATATTGCCAAACGATGAAACGTCGTCGATATTTCTTATCAATAAAATGAAGGTCCTAGCATGGGTTCGTTTTGCTTTTCATGTTGACGTTTTTGAATTACAATTTCACTCTGATCTCTTTTATCTGATAATAATAATAATAACTAGAAACGAAACTCGTTGCGAGCAACGAGAGGTCTTCCGTCTGATTCAGAAAAAAACAACGTAAAATCAAACTGAAAAAGTGATTTTAAAAATCGGACACACGGGGGATCGAATCCGGGTCGCCAGCGTGAAAATCCATTGCGGTACCCATTACACCTTTGGGAACCCGCTTCAAATTTAACATTCGAATATCGCGAGATTGCTTTTTTTTATTCCAACATACATTACATTTTTTTAAAAATTCAGTCTGGAATTGTAAAATGACAGCCAGCTTGCCAAACTTTTGTCAAGATGATCACATCGGAATTTGTAACTTGAGTTTTAACAGTAATTTTTAGGATAGATAATCTATTAATGATGAACAGATGATACAGTTTTCTTTCCTTTTTTTGATATGTATTCAACTTTTTATCCCATGCAACTCCATATACAGACATGCCAATGTTATATATTTCTGCACTATTGTCGCCATTTGTCTACTACTAAGTCGGGTCATGATGCATTATTTCGTGCCAAACGTCACAAGCAGT